CGGGTAAAGTGAAAAAAAAAAACATTTGTTATCACACCTTTCTGATTCCTGATCCTCCACGGACGGGTTGGTCGTTGGATCGCCAACTTGAAGAGGGAGGATTTGCCATCGAGAGAAAAAACCCGTAATATGTAGCCAACATTTGGAAGAAGAATGTTTTCAAGATGACTTGGATAATAGCGCGTTGTGACAAACACCAGATACAGCACTGGGACTTGATCAACAGCCAATACCGCACCGTGACAATGTCACTGACCAGTAGGTGGCAGTAGTGTTCTTTGACAAACATTGAAGTCTCCCGTAATGCACATTCAAATGAAATTAGTCTTCAATAAAAACACATAATTTATTGAACAGTATGTAATAATTTCATATTTAAAGTGCTTTCAGAAGTTTGAATTCTGAATATGACTTTTCCTATAATGCCTAAATTAACTTAAAATGTCAAAACCTGGTTGCAAAATACCCCCATTTGCCACCCACAGTAGGCAACCAACCCTGAGGCAGCTGCTGCTAGGTATTCCCGGTGACAGCGCATCGCCGGTATCTGGGGGTTAGAGAAATAATATTTGAAGGCATGATCGTAATCCGCCATGGAATACTGTCATGATGGGTTTGAAAGTTTGCCCACATGCAGAAACGACTCAGAGGCTGGGTAAAAGTTAAACAGCTTATTGTGAAGGTGTGGAACTCAGAGAGTGAAAAAGAGGACCTCACAGAGACAAAACAAAGGGGATTCTCAACTTGGGGAATATCCAGCGGTCAGGTGAACCGGAACCGGAAACTCTAGAAGGAGATCAGAGTGGTGAGTTCATGGTCCATGGGATTTACAGGCCACTACTGAAATTTAGCCAGATAAGGACTCACAGTTGACGACTAGTGGTTTCTCCTTGGTTGCTGTTTGTGGGGACTGCACAGAAAAGGCGATACTTGGCTGGAGGGCGGACAGGCAGACTTGTTGTGGTCCAGAGGAGCAGCGGAGCGGACTGTCAACAAGCTTTCATGAAGTGGCCTGCATACTGAAGCGGTGAATATTTTCCAGAATCTCAGAGAGACGAATGGATTCCTTCCAAGTCTTGAAGGACCAGGCTTATCCAGTGGATCAGGAGATAATCCTGACAAAAACCACAAAGAAGACAAAGGGTTAGATCAGAGGAGCTCTGAGAGGCTAAAGTACCAAATACTGGCAAACACTCTGGCGACGAGGTGGTCGCCAGTGTGTTTGCCAGTCTGCTGCTTATATACTCCTCTGGTAATGAAAAAACAAGCCACAGGTTTGGGTGGAAAACCAGGAAGAGGCCCTCCAGGCCAACAGTGAAAAGGGCACCCTGTAGTGGATGGGCGGTGACACTAAAAAAACACAAAAACATCTCCCACAAACAGAAACCCTAACAAATACTGGGTCAGCTCTACACCCTCAGCAGGATCCTAGAGGGTGCATGGGAGTTTGCCCAGTCTACATGTGTTTTGCTGATGTGGAGATGGCATTTGACTAAGGGCTGTTAGGTCTGTGTATGACCGGTGACAGTGCCTGATCCGCATCACCGACAGTAAGTCTGACTCATTCCTGGTGAGGGTTGGACTCCGCCAGAGTTGCCCTTTGTCTCCGATCTGTTCATAACTTTTATGGACAAAATTTCTAGGCGCAGCCAAGGTGTTGAGGGGATCTGTTTTGGTGCCCTTAGGATCACATGTTTTGCAGATTATGAAGCGGCTGAGATGAAGATCATTGCCTCCAAATCCAGGACCAGAGAGTGCCTTCTACAGGTTGGGGAGGATGTACTACCCCTAGTGGGGGAGTGTGGAGGAGTTTAAGTATCTTGGGGTCTTGCCCAAGAATGAGAGGAAGATAGGGTGGGAGATCGAAAGGCAGATTGGTGCTGTACCGGTTTGTTGACTTGAACCGCGAGTTGAGCCAAAAGGCAAAGCTCGCAATTTAGATCTACGTCCCTACTCTCATCTATGGTCTTGAGCATTGGGTCATGACTGAAAGAACGAGATTCCAGATAGAGGTGGCCAAAATTAGTTTTTTCCATAGTATGCCTTGGCTCTCCTTTTGAGGGTAAGGATCTCAGTCATCTGAAAAGGACATAGAGTAGAGCCACTGCTCCTACACATCGAGAGGAGTCAGTTACAGTGACTCAGGCCTCTGGTTAAGATGACTCATGGAAGCCTGGCCGGTAAGGTGTTCCTGGCACGTCCCACTGAAAGGAGACCCATGGGGAGACCCAGGGCACGCTAGAAGGACTATGTTTCTCGGCTGGCCTGGGAACGCCTTGGGGTTCCCTGGGGTTAACCGCCGAAGTGGTTAGGGAGAGGGACGTCTGGGCCTCCCTACTGAAGCTGCTACCCCCGCAACCTGACCCCGGATAAGCGGAAGAAGATGGATGGATGGATGGATGGATGGACGGACGGACGGACGGACGGACGGACGGACGGACGGACGGACAGATCATGATCTTGATGATCTGACAGCAGAGACTTTGTTCAGGTGGACTTCTCACTAAAAAAATATACTCAAGGTACTTTTTACCCACTGATCACAGCAAATATAGCAAAGCCGCTCTCTGGCATTGAACACAGAAGCATCAGGCGCATCTGGACACACTTTACTGGAGGCACTTCAGGAGCATTAAAGATGCTTTGGAAGTGCATCTGACCTTAATGTGGACAACAAATAAAAATAAACCAGCAGACCCTTTTTCTGCTGAAATCGCATGCTGTGTAAACGTAGCATAAAACTTAAGAACTGACAAAACTCTCAATAATGTTACATATCAGAGTTATATTGGTTGATCTGAAATGTCCTTGATTTTTGTCCTTTTAAATCACACACTTATTTTATTAGGTGTAACAGTTGAAAGATTAGTTATTCTTGTTCTGAACAGAACCCCAAACACCAGATGACGGTTTCTTATGTTAAATCTGGTCTCTCCATCATAGTCTTGATTTAGTCCAAAAGTAGTTGTTGATAATTGGACTGTTTTGGTCGATCTGACTTTGTCCCAATTTAGACCAATAAAAGAAGTTACAAACCCGGTTTGTAATATCTTTTCAACAATCTGAAAGTTACAGCTTTTCACTTTTCTCTTTTCAACCAAACGTAGATGTTTTTTGGACATCATTTATATTGTCTTTTCAATGTCTTTACAACCAAATTTTGCTTGGTGGGGAGAGATTTTTAGTCCCTTGGGTCCTTTAATCGAGGCCTGAACCAGCAAAAGGAGACTTTTCTTCAGGACTCTGGAAATCTCCTTCCTGGGAAGACTGAAGACCAAGTTAAACACCTAGATTGTTAAATCTGCATTAAAAGGTCTTGTGTTGATATTGATTTTAAAAACATTTATTTTCATTGTATTTTTGAAAGTGCTATTAATATACAGCAAGTATTAGGTACTTACTACAGACAAGCAAACTGTCTGAGCTTCATATGTCTGATTTGCTGAAGCATATGACATTTCAGTGCATGGCTGCTAAGCAAATAAGGCAAAGGCTTTGTTGTTGTGTTTAAGTGCAGCTTTTTTTCTTTCTAGCTTTGTCTTTGTTAATACCGAAGTGATATGCTGCTGTTTTCATTTTGCTAGAGCATTATTCATATAAACACAAAAAGTCTTCCAAAGCATTTATGGATTAGAAACTTTATGACTACCATATTTTTTCTTAAAAACGACAGCAGTATGTTTGTTTTGTTCTTTGTCAGTACTCTATCCAGTGCCCTGCAATTTCTTTTTTAAAAGCTACCGTGTGTAACCACGTACATTGCTATGCACTGCAGTTGCTATTTTCACAGAGCTGAAAATGTGAAGAAAAATCAGAAGTCCAATTTGATGACACTAACAAGTGAGCATAACAAGCTATTTGCAGT